TAATTTATATATTATCTTAACTTTTCTAATTTAAAAATATATTTGAAATTAAAAAATATTATTTAATATAAATTAAATATGTATTATCAAAATAAGATATTTAATTTTTTAGATAATTTTATAACGATATTGGGTAAAAATAGATAAAATAAATAATATTTAATTTGAATTTATTTTATTGATAAAAATAAGTGAATTTTTTTTAAAAAAATTATTATTAAACCCTAAATGCATTAGGCGATATAAAATAGAAAAGAGAAAAAATTTATTTTAATATTAAATTTTTAAAATTTTATTTTTGTAACCGCAAGGAGTCTAAGTGAAATTTTTTCTAACCACAATGTATTTAAGTAAAAATTTGAAACCTCGAGGGATTAAATAATAAATTATTTAAGTACTATAGGTATAAGGGATATGTTTAAAACCACAAGGAATCAAATGATAAATTACAAAATCACAATAGGTGAAAATAAAGTTTTCCCTATCTTATCTACTTATTTCTAATAGTGTTATATGAGAATCTCAACTAACATTAACTATTTTTTTCTCTTCTTAAATTGAAAATGAGTAAATAAAATAGGGCATTAAAAAAGTAGACATAATATTATAGGAAAATAATTATCTCACATTGCATGAGATAATTATCTCATACAATAGAGATAAAGTAGTGGACTCCACATTATTTATTTATTTATTTATTTTTACAAATAGTGGACCCTACTATCTTGTTTCTGTTATTATCTCAATGCAACATAAGATTAATAGATCCCAATATTATATTCTTGAAAAAAATATAAAATTTGTAAGAAAACCATTGACGGCTTAACAAAAAACAAAAGACACCAACAAGGTGTTGGCCAAGTGGAAGCATGCTTGGTCCCCGTAAAGTGGAGGACTTTGGTAGGGGGAATTTATTGATCACGAATACCAAGAAAAACCAAACAAAAGACAGATAGAGAGAAAGAATACCAAGATTAAATGGCTAAAACTGAATCTATTGATCACGAATAAAAAGTCCTTGTGTTTGGTATGAGCTTTTATGTGAGGATACCCAAGCATTTGAGATTGAATTTTTGTATTATCCAAGTTTGATAAAAGAGATTACAAAATTTTTCTAACAAACTTAATTAGTTGCCCAGCTTTTGATGATTGTGTGAAAAAATGGATGAAAAATACCGTTCAAGATACCCACTTTGAATATGATATTTGACAATAACCAGCAAAATAGATGACGAAGAACCGAACAAAAATACCATCTCCATATTATTCAGAGCAACTGACATGCCTTCTTAGACTCATTCAAGGTTCCAAACAGAGTACGATCATCCACTCCTTTACTGGTGGTATAGGCTTGTCATCCAATTCGTTTGAAGCAATTTCTGAGTGAAAAACAAAATTAGTTCAAACATAATGAAACATAACTACAGTAAATGAATACATTATGTGAAAATTAAATGGAACTTTTCTTTCACGCTTCAAACAATAACATTTAATGCTCAATGCATTTGTTTCTACCTTCACGCTCAAAATCTACATCAAAATTGTTATAAAAAAAAAAAAAAAAAAACTACATCAAAACATGAAAGGCTGTATCTACCTTCGTATCTGGCATTGTGGTTGAGTTGAAAGACCATATGTGTAAAGAAGATGTTGTTGGGGTTACATGTATGACTCTATATCCAAGGGAAAAATCTATCCAAGGGGTTACATGTATGATTTGTGCCACATTTATTGTTGGCACATGTAGCTGTCATATTAAGGGTTATTTCTTAATTTTAACTCATTTTTTCATCGATATTTTACTTTTAATCAAACACAGGATCAGCAAATTTAATCTAATTTTTTTGGTAAAATTTTGACCTACTAAACAACTTTTTTTTTTAAACTTTCTTACAAAACTCATTTTTCCATTATATTCCTAGTAATTGTATTTTCCTGAAAAAAAAATTTATTCTCTACCCAATGTCCCGATGTTTAACTAAAAAAAAAGTCATCATATGTAAATTCTGAATCTTTCTCTCTCTCTCTCACGCCAATTTCTTTGCTCTCCAAAAATGTCAATCTTAAATGGAGCTTTTATGAACATAGACCTGTCCAAACATACCTCAATCTTTGGTCTTTGGGCTGACAACAGGGTAATTTTGTCCCTGAAAATATACAAAATAGTATCATCGGATAGGATTCTCAAATACCACATGTTGTGGATAGTCATTTACACGTACCCAACCGTTAAGATCAGCCTAAAGAGCCCTCTTCTAGAAGACAACTTAGGGTTCTTCTTCTTCCCAAGGCACAAGGCTGCCCCTACACAAGGACAGAGGTTCAGCATGCCTAGTCTGAAAAGGCTAGGCTGGCTAGGTGGACCAAGTCCAACACTAAATACCCCCTCTCACATTGAGGAAGGGGACTTCTTCTCCTCCACTCGCCTCTACGGCTGTGACTATGGAAAGCCACCTTAGCCACTTCCAGACACACTCTCCCCTTGATCACATACGTGGGAAGTTCCACTAGTGCCTTGGTCTCTACCATGACTACTATGGACACCCCTATATCAACATACTACACTCTCCATAGGAGACATTTATGTACCACTAACAGTACATTGCCCAGATTCGAACGGTCTGCAACGCATTTACCCCGCCCGCCGGTCAAATTAGAAGAAACTCGACGATAAGTTTTCTTTACTCCTCGTTTTGCTTCGAAGTTTCAATATTCCAGTCAAAAGCGTTCAACTTCTTATATCAAGATAAGACCTTTTTCTTTCTCTATTAAATTGTGTGAGGTCCGCCACCTGTTTGCCGAAGAAGTTGGTTTCAAGTTTTGAAATCCCTATACAGAGCCACTTAATTTGGCGTGTTGAAAACGTGGTGGTGGGGTCCATATATACCTTAAAGTTTGATTCATTTCATATGAATTGTTGCAAAAGCAAATACCATCAGAGATCTTTATATTAGAGTGGGTCCCACAAAGAATACAAATGAAATTGAATTCTTCGCCTGAGAATTAAGGGAAAAAAAATTTATTTATTGTAATTTAATTAAATAATTATGTAAATATAACAGTTTGGAGAATATTTACGCATCTATTGTACACTGTGAGGCTCCTTTTGGCGTCACATGTGACGTCTCACTGGGGCGTCTCTCGTGAAGGAGAAGACGCCCAAATGGGGCGTCTCTCATGTGGTGACACGTGTCACTTGTTTTTTCAAAAAAAAATTAATTTAATCATAAAATTTCTAAATGCCATAACTTTTGACTCGAGTATCCAAATCAAGTAATTCTTTTTTTGATTCCACATAACTTTTTGAGATCTACGCAATGAAATCTCATTTGATATATTTTATTTCTCACCAATAATAATTGTTACTTTTAATTTAAATCACAAACAAATTTTTTATAATAAAAATAAAAAAAATTATTTTTTTTAATTTAAATCACACATCAAATCTTGATTTATTTTTTGTATTAAATCACAAACGCAGAACTCAGAGGCTTCTGAGTTTAAAAATGTGACACGTGTCAACACTTGTCAAAACCTAACACATCGCCAATCACGTCTAAATTGGGTTTCAATCAAGAGGAAATCACGCTTAGTTTAGGTAATTTTATTTTTGAAAAACATTCATAAGCCATCATTAATTTCAAACCACGAATAATAACCCAGAAGCTTATAGCATTAATCATTAATTTTAAAAATAATATCCTTCTTCCTTAGAAATTTAGAATATTTATTTAATTATTTTCTTTATTTTTACAGATTTTTCAAATTGATTTTTTAGCTTAAATCACAAATCAAATCTTTATTTTGTTTTCCTTATTAATAATAATTTTTTTATTTTGAATTTAAATCACAAACCAAAATTTTGTTATAATAAAGAAAATTCTTATAAAAAAATTTAAATCACAAATCAAAATTTTTATTTATTTATTTATATTAAATCACAAATCCAGAACTCAGAGGCTTCTGGGTTTAACCGCTCTTATAATACCATTCTTGCAAATTACAATTGTGTTTGTGAGAAATAAAATATGTCAAATGAGATGTCATTGCGTAGATCTCGAAAAGTTATGCGGAATCAAAAATAGAATTACCTGATTTGAATACTCGAGTCAAAAGTTATGGCCTTTAGAAGTTTTATGATTAAATTAATTTTTTTTTGGAAAAACAAGTGACACGTGTCACCACCTCATGAGAGACGCCCCATTTGGGCGTCTTCCTCTTCACGAGAGACACAATGCCCAAAAGGAACGTCACAGTGTGCAATAGATGCATAAATATTTTCCAAACTGTGATATTTGCGTAATTATTTAATTAAATTGCAATAAATAAATTTTTTTGCCCAGAATTAAGAAATGTGTTGCTTAATATGTTCTTGTGGGTCCCACGTTTGCAAACTACGGTAAAACAAAGTGGACTTTTCAATTCTGTGTATATCTTCTCATTCTTGGTTAATCTTTCAAATTTCAAAGATTTGAAGGTATGTGAATCAAGTCTCTGCACTTCTTAAATGCATAATACTTGCATTTTTTAATAGCATGCTTTTAACCCCGGTTACCATGATAATATGTGAAGAGAGGCTTTACTTGATTATTACTTCATGCCGACACCCAACAAATAAGCAACTCATGAAGACCGACGTATTATCAATCGGTTACATTATATCCTACTTAGAACACTACACATTATGAGCAACCGGCTTAAGCTGTCATACATCTTGGCACCCTTGCTTCGCAAAGCTACCAAGCTGGGGGCTTCTGTTCTGGATAGCCCACTTACACAGGTCCAACCATTAGGCCCAGCCTAAAGAGCCCTCTTCTAGAAGGCAACTTAGGGTTCTCCCTCTTCCCAAGGCACAAGGCTGCCCCTGCACAAGGGCAGGGGTTCAGCATGCCTAGCTTGAAAAGGCTAGGCTGGCTAGGTGGACCAAGTCCAACACTAAATACCCCCTCTCACATTGAGGAAGGGGACTTCTCCTCCACTCAGCCTCTACGGCTGTGACTATGGGGAGCCACCTTAGCCACTTCCACACACACTCACCCTTGAGCACATACATGGGAAGCTCCACTAGTGTCTTGGTCTCTACCATGACTACTATGGACACCCCTATATCAACATACTTCACCCTCCATGGGTGACATTTATGTACCACTAACAGTACACCACCTATTTCGTGGGATTTTAAATTGATATTCCTCTTCATAAAAATAAATTCTGAGAATCTAATTTTTTTTAAAAAAATTTATATTCCATATGCAAAATGTGAATAAATTAGAATCCTAATATCAATTTCCCGTAATTTTAAAAAAAAATTCATGGATTCTATTTCTCTTATGTTATTGTAGATAAGTATCTTCTACCATAAATACATGATGTGGTTGGAGTCCATCACCTTTTAAAAAAATAATAATAATGACACAGTTTTTTATGTGAGAGTAACATGAAATAATTATCTAATTTTCCAAAATTCATTTACCATACACCCCCTCAGATCATCCTTTTTGGGGAAAGCACTTGTTACCCTTCCTGACAAGCTGCTGGCTGAGAGGGTGCAACGTCCCTTACTGCACAAAAGTAGAGTCCAGATGCACATTACCACACACTTCTAATTGCTATAAGCCTATAACTACTCAAATCAAACCAAACAGAAACACCACTCAACTTGCTTTGAGAAAATGGAGATATAGAGCTAGGGACAAAATACACACGAGCATGGAATCTGGTATGCTACTCAACCTCTCATTGGTCTTCTGCCTCCGCTCTTTCACCTCTTCCTATGTTATTGTTGTGGCCTTTTTCACACAACTTGAGTAGAGGAATTTTGGTTCTAATTGGCGTTTCATTTTTGTTTCCGATAATTACTTAATATAAAAAATGAAAAATGAGTTTTTTTTTTTCCAGCATGGGTTTTTCTTAGTGAATTTAGTTTTATTCTTGTGGTTGGTCAATTTTTCTTAGTGAAATTAGACTTATTTGTGCAGATTTGATTAGAGTTTTGTCGGTCAATGTAGTTTTTTTTGTTTAATAATTTTGTAATTTCTTTAGTTTCTAAAAGTTTATCATCTTCAAAAATATGAATTTCTATAAATAAAATTTTTTACAGTGCACATCTAACACAGATATTATAAAGAACTAATTCAACCCAAAAATTTAAGCTATTAGGTGAGACTATATTAATGATTTTATATATCTCAACACGTCCCCTCACCCAAAAAATTTTTGTTGTGATGGTTTTATATATACTCAACCTCTCATTGGTTTTATATATTAAGTTTTGTCTGCAAAGTTAACCATGGTTGATATTTTTGTGTGTTAAGTGTATGAAAGAAGTTGAACTCTAAAGTGTCATCCTTTTTTTTTATATAAAGTGATTCTACAAATTTTTCTATTATAATTTCCGGTCCAAATAATTAATAATTATTTTTCAAAGTAAACTCTGCACTTTTTCCAAAATGCATGTGCTCTGTGCCCGAATTCTATGCAGTCACGTAAGGTTCTGCATGTGTTTATAATGTTAAAGTATGAAATAAAACTACAAGTATGCATATTAGAATATATAAAAAGGGACAGATCACCGTCAAATTTTGAAATTTAATATTAAATTTTAATAATTTATTAAGAATCAAATTTATTAATAAACTTTTAATTTTCAATAAATGATAATTATTAATTGATGAAAATCAACTACTAAGATTGGAGCAATCTTATCTCGTATAAAAATAGAAAAATTGAGTTTGACTCACCTTCCAAATTAAAAATACTAAAATAGCATCAAATTTTGCGTCTGATTGAATAATAGTTTATTGCAGAGCAGTGATTGAAAATATTTAATCCAGTGAAGTGAGGTATGGCTTTACGTCATTATAGTAAGATGTAGAGGCTTATCCCCTGATCTTATAACTGAGCAAGTTTTGTTTGGATTTTAGAGTTCAACTTCTTTCATACACTTAAACACAGAAAAATATCGACCATGGTTAACTTTGCAGACATAAAGCCGCATGTTGTGTTGACTCCATGTCCAATTCAAGGCCATATCAATCCACTGTTGAAACTAGCGAAGCTGCTTCATCTCAGAGGTTTTCACATAACTTTTGTCCACACTGAGTACAACAAAAAACGCTTGCTCAAATCAAGGGGTCCCAATGCCCTTGATGGTCTTCCAGACTTTCGGTTTGAGACAATCCCAGATGGTCTTCCACCCATTGATGGTGATGGTGATGTTACTCAAGACATACCCTCTCTTTGTGACTCTATCAGAAAGAACTTCTTCATCCCCTTTTGTGAACTTCTTCATAGACTTAACGACTCTGCCACTGCTGGTCTTATCCCACCAGTTACTTGCTTGGTTTCTGATGCTACCATGACCTGCTTCACTGTTCAAGCTGCTGAAGAATTTGGAGTACCTAGCGTTCTCCTTTGGCCTGCCAGTGCGTGTTCATTCTTGTCTGTTATGCACTTCCGCACTCTGGTGGATGAAGGTCTTATGCCACTCAAAGGTATCAATTTATTTTCTTTCACCATGTAGCACTGTATCTGTACTCTATGTTTGTATTCATATATATATATACATATGGAACTTCAAGCTATTGGCTTTTGTAATTATGATATGCAGATGAAACTTATCTTACAAATGGGTATTTGGACACCAAATTAGACAGGATTCCAGGTTTGCAAAAATTTCGACTGAAGGACCTTCCTAGCTTTATAAGGACAACAGATCCAAATGATTTTATGGTTGAGTTTTTGATTGAAGTGGCTGATAGAGTTGACAGAGCCTCTGCTATTGTTCTGAATACTTCTGATGATCTTGAGGGTAATGTGATCAATGCTCTCTCCTCTATGTTCCCTTCACTTTACACTATTGGCCCTTTCCCTTCATTTTTGAATCAGAGTCCAAATGACCACTTGGAATCTTTGGGTTCCAATCTTTGGAAAGATGACACTGTTTGTTATGAATGGCTTGAATCCAAGGAACCCGGGTCTGTTGTTTATGTGAATTTTGGCAGCATCACAGTTATGTCTCCGGAGCAACTCTTAGAGTTTGCTTGGGGTTTGGCTAATAGCAAGAAACCCTTTTTGTGGATCATTAGGCCTGACCTTGTCATTGGTGGCTCAGTGATTTTGTCATCTGAGTTTGTGAATGAAACTAGAGATAGAGGCCTAATAGCAAGCTGGTGTCCACAAGAGAAAGTGCTGAACCATGCTTCAATTGGTGGATTCTTGACTCATTGTGGATGGAACTCAACCACTGAAAGCATATGTGCAGGAGTGCCAATGGTTTGTTGGCCATTTTTTGCTGATCAGCCAACAAACTGTGCACATATTTGCAATGAATTGGGCATTGGGTTTGAAATTGATACCAATGTGAAGAGAGAGGAAGTGGAGAAGCTGGTGAATGAATTGATGGTGGGAGAGAAGGGAAAGAAGATGAGACAAAAGAGCTTGGAGTTCAAGAAAAAGGCTGAGGAGGACACCAGGCCCGGTGGTTGTTCATACTTGAACTTGGACAAAGTGATTAAGGTCTTGCTTAAACAAGATTAGATTAAAGTGTTTTTCGTTTTCTGCAATGCAGGATTTAATAATTGATTGATCTTCTCTTCTCTTCTCTTCTTTAATTTGTTGCATTGTGAAGCACAAATGATGCATCGGTTAGAAGTGCTAGTTTGTGCCTTCCTCTGTAATGTGATATGTAATTTCCTCATCCTGGATTCTCAATGTGATTCGTTCCTTTCTGGGAGTATTCGATGAATAATAACATTTCGGTTATTTTCTATTAATTGACTTAATTGTTAGAGGCTTGATATTAATGATGAGTTTGTATTACTACAACTTGCATGCATGTTATAAGTTGTGGGTAGTAATTACAATTTATACCATTGGAATAACAATCATCTATTTAATTATTATCCTAACTTATTTTCAACAGTGTAAATTATACTAGCAACTTAACTATGTATACATATATTACAATTTATATAATACTGTAGGATGATCTATTAATTATTTGCAATCCCCTCCCATGCGTTCCACAAGAATAATAGAAAAATATTTTATTATATTATATTATAATATAAGAAAAAATATTTGTCCTTTTAAAAGATATAACTTTGTGTCATTTTAGATCTTAGCCGTTGATTTTCATCAATCAACGGTTAGGATTTATTAGGTTGAACTCATTAATTAATTAGTAATTTACAATAAAATCAAATAAATCTCAACCGTTGATTGATGGAAATCAATTATTAGAATCTAAAATGACACAAAATTATATACTTTAAAAGGACAAATATTTTCTTATATTATAATATAATAAAATAAAATATTTTTCTATTATTCTTGTGGAACGCATGGGAGGGGATTGCAAATAATTAATAGATCATCCTATACAGTATTATATAAATTGTAATATAAGTATACATATTTAAGTTGCTAGTATAATTTACACTGTTGAAAATAAGTTAGGATAATAATTAAATAGGGTTTGCATTTGTCATTTAACATGACACAACAAACTTTCCTACACACACAACATTTTGTAAGGCCCACACTTTTTGAAGAAAAAAGACAAAAAAAAATTATAGCACGTAAAATGAATCTCTATAACATTACACAATCATTTTTCCTAGAACGTAACTTTTATAAAATCCTAATTAAATAGATGATTGTTATTCCAATGGTATAAATTGTAATTACTACCTACAACTTATAACATGCATGCAAGTTGTAGCTCTTTGTATTAAAAAAAAGGGACAAAATTATTTGGCCGATGACTTGGATGCTAGTAGCTGTTTGTATAATTATTATTGTTTCTGGTGCCAAGCATTCATTGAAGGAAGAATCTTTTTGGATGCAACAAGTGGATTTATTTTGGGAAAAAATGTTTATCTTTTTAAATGACACAAGTTATGTCATTTCACTCTCACAAAGAAGTGTGATTCACACCTTTATTTTTTTTGTCAACTCTCTTTCCTCCTTTATATATCTTTTTCTCTCTCTTAAAATGACACAACTTTACATTCTTTAAAATAAGATACATTTTCCCCTTTATTTTGTTATCGATTCCTTACACACATTTTCGATTTCGGGTAAAAGATTGACAGCCGGTGTACCTATGATTGTGATGTGTGTACGGGAAGAAAGAAATTTTTTAAAAATAAAAAATAAAATTCACGTGTCAATTTTTGAATGGAAATAATAGGTATCCGTACATCAATTATACTGAAAATGTTCTTCTTCAGAGGGACATTTGGTACAAAGATTTTTTTAATTCCTGGAAAAATGATATTATGAATCCTATTTATTAATGTTTGGTACAAGAATTGTGAACTTTTTTCTAAGAATATGATTTTCCCATGATTTTGATTTGTCAATATTTTTTAAGGCAAAATGTGATTCAAGACCACTAGGGGTACCTTCTTGGATTCCCGAGAAGTGGAAAAATACTTTGGCATCCACGTTACTAGTGATGTGATTGTAACACCCCGTTCTAGAACCGGTTTGTTAACATCGCATTATGATATTAAGCGCAGTTACAATCACATGGGTTCAATTAAAATCCGGTTAAATTTTTCATTTTAAAACATGCCAAATTTATAATGCTCAATTGCGTGATCATAACCATATTACTTTGCGGAATCAGATAAACCAAGCTTAACATCATGTTCTTATTCCATTTTTAAACCATTAATTTACTTCTTATTTATTTCCCAACTTCTACTATATTGTAGATTTCTTCGTTAGCTACGCGTGGTTTCAAACCGCTCCTCATTTGGAGCTCTGTAGCTCAAGTTATGACAATTTTACTAACTCAGGCGTATGCTGAAAAACTACGCGGGCAGGGCGCTTAAGCGCGCTCCAGGGCGCTTAAGCGCCCACAGACAGAGGGAATTTACATTTTTTAGCCACCAAGGGCGCTTAAGCTCGCTCCAGGGCGCTTAAGCGCGCTACCTGGGCGCTTAAGCCCCCATTTTGGGCGCTAAAGCCCCAGGCGGCAGAAAGCTTTTGGTCTTCACAGGTGCATCAGGGCGCTTAAGCCCCCTCATGGGCGCTTAAGCCCCCTGAGCAGGCTTAAGCCTCCATTTGCAGGCTTAAGCCCCCTCTTCTGGGCAATTTCCTAAACTCATATTTTTCATGTATCTTTCTTGGGGAATCAATCCTACACATTTTACAACCTATTTAACAAGCTTGCAATATCCCTATATCATTGCTTAACTCTCATCCTCTCATCATTGATTTAACGGAAATTGGGCAGCATAACCTTTGTTTTCTCAACGTTTCCCAATCTAACAGCTTAGCTCCTAATAGACAATTCAGCTCAACATTTCCAATATTCATCATGCATTCATAACCTTGAAGTAAATAACATTACACAAGTTTAATTACATAACTGGGAACTTAGCTACAAAAGGCTATGACCATCCCTTGGCTCTCATCAACAAAAGAGATATCCAATGGCACGATCATAGGCTAAGTCCATCAAATATAACGAGATATACATACGTCAATGCTATCAATGATCAATCCTATACATGTAAATCTACAAAATAACATGTATGATCTCAAAACATCATTTTCTTCATGCATGATCTACTGCAAATAAGGCCACTTGCCATCAGAGTCTCCTGCAGCTTCCTTACCTGAAAGGGGTCCCCATAACACGGGGTGAGATATACGAATATATCACAGTAAACCAGAGGTCCTTGGAGATCACTCCACCCTAAGGTTCACTTTGATGTACACATAATCATAATAGCTTAACACATTCTTATCCACAAGCATCACATGGACTTCCAAGAGAGATCCACTATGGGCTGTTTCTCTTAGGCTCTTACCACATGGAGATCCACATAGGGCTGTTTCCAAGGGAAGTCCTTTCCTCAATCTATTCCAAGAGAGATCCTCAAAGGGCTGTTTCTCTTAGGCTCTTACCACATGGAGATCCACCTAGGGCTGTTTCCAAGGGAAGTCCTTTCCTCAATCTAGGAACCTCCAAGAGGGATCCACATAGGGTTGTTCCTCTTAGGCTCTAACCACATGGAGATCCATATAGGGCTGTTTCCAAGGGAAGTTCCTACCAATCATCCTCATCATAATACTATCACTCATAACCTCAATCACAATCCTCAACCATTACCTCATTCATTATTGCTACTTCTATAATCATTCCCCAATTACTCTTAAACAATCAAACATCAACCAATAATCATCAATCAATCATAACATGTATCAAAGCATGAATCAATGCATGAGCATACAATTACAATCATAATTACATATCACATCTCATAAACCATTTCTCCTCAACGGAGTATGGTGGAACACTCAATGGGATCAACCACAAGGTCCAAAGGTTTACCTTGCTCTTGAGCTTTCCTCAATTGCACACAACCCCAAGGGTTGGTCACTCCACTTGGTCCTCTTGCCTCAATCCTATCAACACAAGGAATACAATCAAACAATGCTAACAATGCAAGGAAATCCATAGTTCCAAGCCTAGATTTCTCAAAACATCAAAGCATACTAAAATAACACTATAAACTCATTTCTACCGATTAAATGTCATTCCTAGCATTTTTCACAACATACTCTAAGCCTCATTCTTCCTTGAACATAGCCAATCTACTCAACATTTCATAAAAACCCTAAAACATTATTCATTAAACCCTAACCATGAAATTTTCCAAGAAAACAAGGTTCAAGGGTTAGAATCTTACCACCAATGGTCACACAACCAAGGATTGATGGCACCTCACTTCAATGAAGGTTGAAGCTCTCAAACACCTCAATTTCTCCAAAGGGCCGAATTTTTGAGGGGCAATATCTCACCACACAAAGCTCCCCACTAAGAACTAAGCTAGGATTAATGATGAGGGCGAGATTCTAAGTGATTTAGGCTTTTGAATCGCTCCAATCGGTTGAGAATAGCTCTCTCTCTTCCTCCCTTCCTTCTCCCTCCTTTCTCCTTCTTCTCCTTTCCCCTTCTTTTCTTTCTGTCGACGGTTTCTTGGGGGGGGGGGGTTGGGTTTCTTTCTTGTTTTATCACTTAACATAAGTTAAGTGGTAACATGTGGGTATTAGTTCATCTATCTATTCAACTCCATTAATTACCAAACTTTACCCAAAAGTCTGGAATATTATTCTAGGAATATTTATATTTATATTTTTATATTTTGGGCATTTTCGCCAGTACCCATTTATACCCCTTAATTTCAACTGAGTACATTTTTTAACTCCAAAGTGACTCAAATTCATTTAATTAAGCCCTATACTTAATTTTACTCACTAAAACATGCTTAATTATTTAATTAAAATTAATCAATTAAATGCTTAAGTTTGGGGTATTATACTCACCCCACCTTTTTAACGATTTTGTCCTCAAAATCGACAAAACCACTCATTCAATCATCTATGGATTTATCGGAGAACTCTTCTTGTGTTCCCGAAGTTACCCTATTAATCAGTTCCTCTTTTCCTCATCATCTTATCATAAGATGAAATGTTTCATTCATGATTCAATCTATGTTTTATAATTAGGTGATACT